ACGGTGTCCTCGAGTGCCCAGAGAGGCGCCTTTAAATAAAATGTATTATTATTATTATTATTATTATTATATAAGTTTCACAGAAATTCAATAAACAAACGATATATATCAAAGTCTCAGTATGTCAAATTTCTCTCCAACGGATCAACACTCATTACACCAAGCAATAGCATTTAATGGATGAAACCACCAAAGAAAAATATATACAACCCCAACAATACATCTACAATGCATCATAAAAACCATATGTCCAAAACAATGAACATCTGGGCCCATGCAGCATTATGCATTAATGCCTTACTGCACGGGGAAATAATTGTTTGCATTTGTGTAACCAATCCCTATTTAAGATGGCGTCTCATTATCATGAACCATTTGCCATGATGAATGTCTAGGACTGAAACATTGCCAATAAATGTTTGTATTGCAAGTTAAACAGACAGAAGTGACTTGATAAGATTGAGTTTTCTTAAGATCTCACTGCATAAAATGTGACTTCTTCAATCATTACTTAATTCCATATCAATTTTAATTTGCCAGAGCAGTAATTAATCTCTGTGGGTGAATTTTACCTTTGTATTTGTCCTCCGCACCAAAAACGTCTTTTCTACCACAATTTTCCATGGCGTTTTTCATTGCACATGCAGGGAAGAGATGGAAGAACTTTATTATTTGATAATGCCATTTGGTCCAAAAGGTCATCCTGGCCCGGGGATTGGGGGAGAGAGAGAGAGAAAAGGGGGAGGAGGGAGAGCAGGAGTAGTGCTTGGGGGGGAGGGGGTGAGGAGTAGTGGTGGTCAGTCCAATGGGAAACTAGGTGCTGATGTTGAGATAGTTTCCATAGTAACTCCTCCTCCTCCCAGTCTCGATCTTCCCTCCCTAACACTTTCCTTCACACATAAGAACACACATAAAGACATGTGCACAACTGCATGCTCAGACCTCCCCTCTTTATCCCAGCACTGGTCTCTGTGGTAAACCACTTTTGCTTTAGTATCTGGTTTTAAAATCAATTTGAACCTTCGTGTTCCAGCTGTGTGGTCATATGATATACTGTGGCTCGACCATTAAAGCTACCTCTCTACCAGTTTTCCTGCCTTGCTGGAGTAGATATGTACGTAAGGAAATGTGCACAGCCAGTGCAGATTCCAATGGAAACATAGATAAAGGGAACAAAAAGGATTCATTGTATGTGTTCGCAGTTGATGGCTGACCGCATTTACTAAGTGCTGAATGCTGCTCCATTCATTGTTTCTTTAGAGAGCTTCTTGAATTGGCATCTCTGATCAGGTCAGGGTTGTTCTTCTTACAGAAAGCCCCAGCCTTCATTTGCCAGTTCTCTAGCTCTACTACTCCTCCTCCTTCAGCTCCAGCACTTGATGAAGGTGAGCGTTAAAATAGAGTAAAAGGAGTAAAAGCAGATGTGCTGGCTAGTCAGAGACAGACATATAGAGATTGAGGGGGAGAGGTAGAGAGAGAGAGAGAGAGAGAGAGAGAGAGAGGGAAAAAAAGAGCAGCAGCAGCAGCTGGCCCAGGGAGCCCAGGGAGAGCACCTCTGAGCTGGGCTCAACACAGCTGGAGTCCCTCCCTGGGACAGGCTGGGGAAGGAAAAAAAAAACCCTGTTTGTGTGTATCTGCATGTGTGATCTGGGCATATTATATGAATGGAAATACACTACATGGCCTAAAGTATGTGGACACCTGAACATTACACCCATATGTGGCTGCCCTACTGCCTGAAGCAACATGTACCTCACAAGAATAGTAAAGTGGACACACCTGCATCCCCCGAACCACACGTACTGTATACAGCACACACACAAAGCACGAGTGAACCTCGGGGGGGTGGGGGTTCATGCACTATATGGCCAAAAATAAGTGTACACCATCACCCATATGCGCCAAAACAATGTGTATTGATCTAAGATGCTCCACTCTTCTACACGGCTTTCCACAGGATTTTGGAACCTGGCTGCAAGACCGCTTGTGAGGTCGGGGCGCTGGTGTTGGGTGATAAGGCCTGGCTCTCAGTCACAATCCAGCTCATCCCAAGAGGTGTTGGATGGGGGTTTAGGTCAGACCTCTATGCAGAGCCGGTTAAGGTCTTCCTCACACTATTACAGCAACAAAGTAAAGTGTATACCAGTGTATGTTGTCGAATTTGAATTAAAGGGACCTTGTGGCAAATACCACACAGGTACAGTGGCCATATGTTTGTTGAATAAGTGTGTGTGTTGTGTGTGTGAGAGAGATTTGTAAATTGAGACGGCCTTTCTCTGTTTCCTTTTCACCCCCAACACTTCACTGACTCGCTCCTGTAGCAAGAGAGAGAGGTAAAGGCCATCGCCACTGTCACTCACGGATGTAATCATTCGGATCAACCCCGGTTCTCCCTTTATTTTCTGCCTCCGGTAATTGCGTTTCTGTTTCGTGCGGGCGGTGAGTGTGCGCTGTCCAAGGTGCTGCAGCAGCGCGCAGCCCCGCCCATCCTCTCCAGTTCACACTCTCTCTCTCTCACACACACACACACACGCACACGTTTCCTCTCTCTCTCGCGACCACGTGACTCTCACTCTGCCGAGTCTCGCGGAGAGCATCAGACTGCACCTTTTCCTCCTCAAGAGAACGGAGAGAGAGAGAGAGAGAGAGAGAGAAAGAGAGGGAGACATTGAATCAGACAGAGAGAGCGAGCGCGAGAGAGGGACGGAGAGCTAGAAAGAGAGAGAGAGCGCGCGCGAGGGGGAGACCAATAGCACCTTGTCGCCTCGAGGCGAGCCTGTGATAATTTTGTCCCTGTCCGGTAGACCGGCTCTATCTACCACCAAGCGCGCGGGTGCTCTCTCCTCTCTCGCGGCTTTGAGATTCTCCTCAAATGGGAAGGGAAATCGATGAGTCGCGCGCCGCACTGTTGCCACGGAACCACAGGATGTGCGTGAGGTAGGTCGGTTTCTGTAGCCTATATATATATAAATATATATATTATAGTACTTATATAAATATCTGGTGTGTGTGTGGCTGCATTGGTTGGGGGTCGCCTCGTTTTATTTTACCGGGGCGAGGCTGTCACATCACCGTTACAGGGTTGTGATGCCAATTAAAACCAGGGTGGCGGAAAAAAAAAAAAAAAAAAAAAATACATTACCACGTGTTACCGGTTAGAACACCTAAGCCCCTGCTTAGTTAAGGTGCTACGGCGCAGGTGTGGAGACTGAACCCTGTGCCTAGTCAGTAACGGGCGCCGTAGGGAGGAAAAAACAATGCGAGAGGGGAGGAGGAGGTTTTTGTTTAGGGTGTGTTGGTGTGTGGGGGCTGTTTTGGTGGTTATGGGTGAATGGATGGATGTTATGCTCGTCATAATCTGTTGTAATATCTATTTCAAGCGCCATTCATTCATCCCCATCTATCAATAACTGGAATGTCGGGGGGCGCCTTTTCGGGCCCCTCAACAGATTTTTGCTCGGGTGAGAACCCTGAAAAGCAAACAATGGTGTAGCGCTACCGGGGTGGTGTGTATGCTCCATTGTACAGCCGGGTGTGTGGGTTGTCGTTTTGGGTCGCTGAGATTGTTTCAGTTTGTGATGAAAATGAGCCCTCCGAGTCGCTTAATTCAGATAAGAGCAGGCGGTTTTGGTCAGTCATCCCCCGGCCGCAGGCGCGGCGGTGGGCTGCCTCCCGCCCTCTTTCTGCTTGATGTGGACTGAATCCTTGAGGAGGGGGTGCCAACCGCTTAATCCTTTTTTTTACAAATAACATAAATAAACTTAAAAAAAAAGGGGTTGCTTACATCTAATTGGTTATTTGGTCTCTTTCAGGAATGATTTTAAGGTTCTCAGAAGTCGATTTTTTAAAATTTAACAAAAAAATATGCTTTTATGACGTTAAGGCAAGTCGCAGGTGTGCCCACCCCCTTTATAAAAATCTCCTGGCGGCATGGGATGGCCCGAGCTCGGAGGGGGAGCTTCTACTGGAGGGTGCTGCTTTATGGTAATGTCTGTGTATGTTCTGGCGCGCGTCCCCTACACTGGTTGGGTGTGTGGTGGTGTGTGTGTGTGTTGTAAGGGAGCTTAAGTCATTGTCGTTTGGCTTTGTGGTGTAAGATTCTAGTTTTTATTGTATATGTTCAGTATGTTTCATACAGGCCTCACAGCCTTGCATTTTGGCCTGTTACAATCGTGTAATGGGAAATGTGATGTTCTGTGTGTGTGGTGTCTGCGTGTTGTGTGGTGGTGCGCACGGGCACAAAGATGGCCATGGAGAGTGAGTTAAATTTGAGAATAATAGCGCGGTCGGGCTTTGTGTATGCCCTCGTGTGACGTGTGTGAGTGCTGTGTGAGGAGAGTTCTCGTTGCGGGTGGGCGGTGTTTACGTTGTGTGTGACCCTGCGTTGGATTGTGCCGCTCTCTGTTCTCTCTGTAGGTCGGCTGGAGAGAGTGATGGGGAATCGTGGCAGGTGAGAGACACACATACTCCACTCACACACACATACACACTACACACACATACAAACACACCACACGCAGCACACACACACACATAATTTGGGCCGACACCACTTAATCTTGCCCCTACTAAGACAGCGGAATTTTTTTTGAGGGGGGAGAAAATTAGCTTGCTATCGGACGGGGTGTCATTTCTCCTCCATTACCAATGGTGTGAGCCCACACACCCACACACACACTCATACTCCGTGGGGAGTTGTCTTCATGGGGGATAAGGCCCTATCTAGGGCACAAAGATGGAGTTCACATCCTATTCGTCACGTATCTAACACTCACACAGATGTGCACACAAATACACACACCTGGAGTCTCATATGTCCAAAGTGAAGAAAGACTGAATGGAGAGTAGACACTGAACATCTCCGAGAAGACGCAAACACCAGGCCGAGGCAAAAGAAGATTCCCCAATCTTGCCGAAAGGACGGCGGGAGCTACGGTGTGCCCCCCCTCCCCCATTGGAGCTGTATCGTGTAGGAGCATCTCCTTGTAAAGAGCACTACCAAGAAAGCAGGGGGCAGCGGAGACGTATAGAAGGTGTTCTACGAAGTGCCCTACAGTGGTCACCATGAGCTGTAGGCTAGAGGGAACACCCCAGCTCTAGCCTCTATCAACTCCCAGGTGTGTGTGTGAGTGCGAGAGCGAGTGTGTGTATGAGTGTGATGGCGGTGTGTGTTTGGGCGGCAGCCCCCCTGCTCTTCCTGGGGCTGTGCCTGTGCAGTGTGGGGGGCCATGCCCAAGGGGAAGTCCTGGAGTTTGGAGGTGTGTCCAGCCAGTGGGGGCGGTTCCCAGTGTGGAACGCCTGCTGCGAGAGTGTGCTGAGCTTCAGCCTGCGGACTCACAGCCAGGAGGGCCTGCTGCTCTACCTGGATGATGAGGGCTTCTGTGACTTCCTGGAGCTGCTGCTTCTCCACGGCCACCTCCGCCTGCGCTTCTCCATCTTCTGCGCTGAGCCAGCCGAGCTGCAGTCAGGTGTGGCGGTGAGTGACGGCAACTGGCACGCAGTGCGTGTCAAGCGGGACTGGAGGAACACCTCGTTGGAGGTGGACGGGCGACTGGAGGGATGGGCGGAAGTGAAGAGCAAGAGAAGAGACATGACAGTATTCAGCCACACCTTCATGGGCGGGGTGACACCAGAACTTCACTCCTCGCCCTTGCGACTCACATCTCCTTCGGTACGAGAGCACCCCGCCTTCCGTGGCTGGATCACGGCGGTGAGCATCAACGGCTCACTGGTGACGTTGGACAGCTCGGAGGGCGTCACGGTAACGGCCGGCTGTGGGCCGGATCACCAGTGCCAGAATGGAGGGGTGTGCAGCGTGGTCAACGACCAGGCCGTCTGCGACTGCTCCGACACCGGTTACCAAGGCAACGACTGCAGCGAAGGTAAGGCCCAGAACCATGCTGACCCATCATATGCATCTCATCCTTTACATACACACACATACACTTCAGTACATGCATACAGCTACCTCTGTGGATGCATATCTCCAAATGAACACCTCCAATTTCAAACACCAGGTCCTTCAGTGTAGACACCTTCACAGCTGCCTTCAGTTGGTGTGTATGGACCAGCAGCCTTCACAAACAGTGCAAGACTGATTATATCTCATATTGATTTTTTATGGCTGCCACTGACTCTCAATTTAGCCCCCACAGCTTTGAGCTAAGCCCCCTCCCAAGAACTGCATTCAGTTTAGTGAAGCTGGAGCTGAGCGCTTGAGAACAGCTGTTCTGTGCTACATTCAAACCGTCGAAGCTTGAGAGGAGATTTGGAGACAAATTCTGGAAAACTCACTGAAAAGCGTCACCTGGCTGGCAGTGTTAAAGCCTTGATGGGCTTCGTTGGTGTGTTAGGCAAAGCACAATAACCATATAGATCTATTATGGAGGTGGTTGTTGGCTTGTGTTGGCAGACTTTAATTGGAACTAATCAATGGTTGTTACATGGCTGATGTCTGGCTGCCTGTGTTAATGGTTTGCATTGATTCTAGACGGCCTTCACAGGTACCATGCACAGGGTGTTGAAATGAAGTGTGTACAATCTATCACCTGCCATTAATTTGAACAGCTTGCAGCTTGTTAGGATGCTGTGTATGTGTGAGAGTGTATAGTATGTGTTTTTGTGTCAGTGTTCTTATGCATTATAAAAGAGGAAATAGTGTCCTGTCAGTAGTGCTTTATGAATATGAGGAACTGTGACAATAAACAGCCTGATATAAAAATAAAACTTTTATGTGGAAGAGGCAAAAGAAAAATGCTGTTGCACAAATGATTTAATATCTCAACTCTACAAGAACACCGTGCATTAATACGGTCAAACAAGCCTTCGGTCAATACAAGTGCCAATATACGGGGCACTGTAATGACGGTCATTACAAAAACATAACAGCTGCTTAATGAACTCAGCTACCTTGTTATGGCCAGTACTGCAAATGCGTTCATTTTCCCCCTGCTCAGTTGTGTGTGTCGTCAGATTTGCTTCAGTTCATTCACAGAGCAAATCTGCATTCTTAATCAATAGTACATTCAACTCCTGCATGCTTTTCCTTTACTCCTCTTCGATGCCGAAGATACCTTTTCAGCTTTGCCTCAGCGATTGATATTTTAATGGCACAAATGCGTCTGCCAGCGGTTTTCTGGCCAGCGTTTGCCACCGACCTGACCTCACACCCCACCCAGCGCCGCTGTAAGCAACGCACCTCCCTGTAGCCACCCACCGTATCACACCCTAACATTTAGTGGGCAGTGGATGGCGTAGGTTACCATGGAGACAGGACTAATAAGGAGACCTCATGCCAGGAGTGTTTCTCCGTGCGTCCTCCCTTCCTTCCTACCCCCACTCCTCAGCTCCAACACCCCCCTCCTGGACTCCTTGCTGTGTTCAGCTCTGTGGCAGCTCCTGGTGACTTCAGGCACCATGTCTGCCACACACATCTACTGTATTTACATTAGACACAAGACACTTCATTTGTCTGCAGCATCAATAAAAACAAGATAGAAACATTTAAATGCATGTAGTGGTGAGTGTGTGTATGTATGTGTGA